CCTATGGATCGAAACGTGTGAGGGGTGTGCCGAAATGGGTGTGGGTGACGCATGCGGGCGCGGGCACTGGGGCCTTCGGCGGGAGCTCCCTATGGAGCCACGAAACGTGTGAGGGTGTGCCGAAATGGGTGTGGGGACGCATGCGGGCGCGGGCACTGGGGCCTTCGTGGAGCTCGGTATGTGCCTTGCCACCACGAAACGTGTGAGGGGTGTGCCGGGACGCATGCGGCCGCGGCACTGGGGCCTTCGGTGGAGCTCCCTATGGAGCCACGAAACGTGTGAGGGGTGTGCCGAAATGGGTGTGGGGGACGCATGCGGGCGCGGGCACTGGGGCCTTCGGTGGAGCTCCCTATGGAGCCACGAAACGTGTGAGGGGTGTGCCGAAATGGGTGTGGGGGACGCATGCGGCCGCGGGCACTGGGGCCTTCGGTGGAGCTCCCTATGGAGCCACGAAACGTGTGAGGGGTGTGCCGAAATGGGTGTGGGTGACGCATGCGGGCGCGGGCACTGGGGCCTTCGGTGGAGCTCCCTATGGAGCCACGAAACGTGTGAGGGGTGTGCCGAAATGGGTGTGGGTGACGCATGCGGGCGCGGGCACTGGGGCCTTCGGTGGAGCTCCCTATGGAGCCACGAAACGTGTGAGGGGTGTGCCGAATGGGTGTGGGTGACGCATGCGGGCGCGGGCACTGGGGCCTTCGGTGGAGCTCCCTATGGAGCCACGAAACGTGTGAGGGGTGTGCCGAAATGGGTGTGGGTGACGCATGCGGGCGCGGGCACTGGGGCCTTCGGTGGAGCTCCCTATGGAGCCACGAAACGTGTGAGGGGTGTGCCGAAATGGGTGTGGGTGACGCATGCGGGCGCGGGCACTGGGGCCTTCGGTGGAGCTCCCTATGGAGCCACGAAGCGTGTGAGGGGTGTGCCGAAATGGGTGTGGGTGACGCATGCGGGCGCGGGCACTGGGGCCTTCGGTGGAGCTCCCTATGGAGCCACGAAACGTGTGAGGGGTGTGCCGAATTGGGTGTGGGTGACGCATGCGGGCGCGGGTACTGGGGCCTTCGGTGGAGCTCCTATGGGGCTACGAAACGCTGTACTGGGTGGGTGAAACGCAGGGAAGAGGGGGAGGAGGGAGGAGGAGGGGGAGGAGGAGGAGAGGAGAGGAGAGGAGACGCGGGGCACCGTCTCTTCAAAACGAGGACCCAACACCACAAGATGGTTGGGAAAAACACCATTGCGGGGACCCTGCGCCCGACCCCCAGTTTCACCCTCCAAAAAGTAGCCGGAAAGACCACTATTCACCAGAAAACGCATGCAGAGCACAGAAGGAGGAGGAGGAGGAGGAAGAGGAGGAAGAGGAGGAGAAGGAAGGCTGATCGGTGCGGCAGGCCGCGATCTGGTCACTGCGGGAGTCGGTGCGCTGGTCAAAGAGGGAGCAAGCAAGCTGGCCGGTGCGGCAGGACGCGATCCGGTCGGCACCAGATTGGAGAGCTGATCGATGAGGCAGCCGGAAGGCTGGTCGGTGCAGACGTCCACTGCACAACGTGTCTGCACATATTGTCCCCCCATACTCCGTCTGCAGGTACATGTGGACCCCAAATAGTATACATCATGTCTGATGTCGTGACGTACGTAGTGTAACCAGAATGCCCGTCGTCATATGTGCATGTCGGGACCGTCAGTTTCACAAAGCCAATAAAAGCATCGGATGGAGAGAGGGAGCGGATGCAGGCCCAAGGATCAAAGTCAAACAAACATTTTAAACAATAGAAAATCGAGTTCGGGACCGGTTATACATGATGTATTTTTAGGGGGAAATCGTTTTCAACTTCACACGTGTAGGAAGGAGCCCATGGTGGCCCGCTTCCGGCGATTAGAATGCCCCCGGGGGGGAACAGTTCGGGACGGGGCCAAGGAAAAACGAGGGGAGAGGAGAAGCGGGAGAGAGAATCCTCCTCTGCTTGCTCAGCCTCGTGACTTGGGAAGGCTCCTCAGATCCTTTATCAGCCCTGAGGCGCATTCGTGACTTGGAAAACCTGAAGCGGTGAGACTCCCACAGCCCTGCCGCACGTTCGTGACTTGCGAAAGATGAAATGGCGATACCCTCGCTGCCACGCCACACGTGTTTGTTGATTTGCTAGCCGACATAATAACATAACAACGTTTTTGTTGAACGTTCGGCCTTGCCGCCACTCTGCCTCGACCACATATGCAATGGCCCAGGTTAGTAAATTCTCAGGGGGGGGCCGGGGTTACGTTACGTGCTATTTCTGCCATCGGACTCTTTGACCTGCTCCAGATCACTGTTTTTTGAAAGCGGTTGCGCTCGCAGGGCCTCAGCCTCAGCTCATGTGGGGAGTTCACGCAGCATGTCATCATGCTGCTTATGGTTGAGCGCGCAGTGCCGCAACCTGTTCATGCAGGATGGCACGGTTACTTTGTCTCGGTTGCTGTTTCAGCCCATGGCCCCCAGCGCCCTGGGCCACGAAGACTTCGATAGCAGCGCGAACCTCCGCGTCGATAGCCGGGCGGACTATCTGCGGTTGACTGGCCAACTGGGAAATCGTCCGAGCTTCTTCTGCAACGGACCGCGCTTGCTGGTCGCCGCGCTCATTGTTTGCGCTCGCGCAGTATAAAAACGTCGCAGAGAGCCTGGAGAGCATTTCCCCCCTGATCTTGAAAAGCTATCCGGTGTTGCCCGCTGTGTTCTTGCAAGGCAGTTTGCGCATTCAGCGGGTCCCTTGGCGGCACAAACTCATCGATTCGACGCTCTGTTGGTTCGCGGTTCGCGTCAAGTCCACGTTTATCGATATGGCGCGCGCCGACCCGACGCTCATCAATTTGGTCCACGCCAACTCGACGCTCGATGTTCTGGACACGTCAGTTCGACGCTCATTTGTGTTACATGCGCCGACACGACGCGCATCGGTGTACAGCTCAGTAGGCGGTCGTGAAGGATGCGCTTGTTACGCGCCCTCGCTCATCTTTGCTGACATTGCAGCTCTGCGCTGTTCTGGTGTACGGCGGCAGGGAAGGGGCGCGTAGTCGAGGGGGTGGGGTGTTCAGACCCCCCCCCGTCTCCTGGCTCTGCCGAATTCATCCTGGACGCGGCCGGCTTTCATGTAGCTCCAGGTCTCCCCGGGGCGCCGCCTGCAGCGCCGCGCTGTCCGAGCGCAGCGCCCGCGGCGTCAGGTTCCCTAAACGCACGGGCCCCGCAATGCGAGACACTCGCGGGTTTCGGCGCATCGGCGCTATATGCTATAGGAATGGCACTTCCATCACCAATTGTTCGATCCGCCCCAGCCGTGCCGTCCAAATCTGACCGCTCGCATGTCATAGCGCGGCCATCAGCGGCACCTCCACCGCGACCGTGGCATCGAAGTTCGCTACCGGCGAGTCTGCGGTGTTCATGTCCATGACATGTTTTCGCACAGGTGCAGCGCGCTTCCGGGCACCTCTTCGCGCTTCGCACTTCGGTTGGCACCCTACGTTTGCAAGATAGTTCAGCCCCTGGGCCTCGCATTCAAATCGTGTGGGTCCTGGTCCCGCTCTGGCTCGCGCGTCAATGCGGCCAAGATCCCGTCGGTGGTTCGAACTTGCATCCTGCCGTGCTGCGCGAGGACGCCCCGAAAATGAAACAGAAAGGGGAACCGCCTGCACCCTCACGACGACGACAACGAAGGTTGAGGCGTCGCCGCGCCCCCCTCTGCTTATTCCTGTCGATCGGGCGCGGCCCCATCGCGTTCTGCGACCGCATGTGCGAGCGGCAACGGGAATAGGAGGGGGACGGGGAAAGACCAGACGGAACCGCGACCACTGAAACCATGATAGGCTAGGGATACCGTCCAAACCAAACGCGCGCCAAAACGGACGAGAAACATTGGGGAAGGGGGACGGAACAGGACGAGTGAACGGGGAAAGGAAGAAAGACGGCACAACTCTGATCAATATGCACATCGATGCAATGCCAATGTTCCCTTCTTCTGCGCTCGCTTGAGTTCTCTTTCCCTCCCCATTCGTCCTCATCAACGTCATCATCCCTCTTGTTTGTCTTTTACCGTTCGTCCCACTCGGCATCATCCTCCTCTCCTGGTGCCTCTTGAAATCCGGTCAGAGGCCTCGTGGAACCCAATGTGAGCTCCCTCGGGGGCCTAATGGAGCACTCGATGGCCTCTTCCGAAATGCCCGTTTTGGGAAGATGTCTCACGCGAGACGGCCGTGTTGGGACTACTGGCTAAACGGAACAGGTCTCCCTGCGGCAAGCGCGAGCGTGGCTTCCCCTGTTCGGCGACCCCGACAAGTTCCCCTCCGCAAGCTCCCCATCACAATCTTCACTCCCAAGCGAGAAACGCATGCGCTTCTGCACCACCACCCCCTTCGACTTGTCTCTCCCCCCCTCGAGGTCGGGATCAAACTGAAGGAAAACACAGGCGGACAGAGCTCAGGGACGCAAGCCGCCTAGAACGCACCTGGGCGCCAAAGTAACCCCAGGCCGGGACAGCAGACAACTTGCAACGGATGCCATGCATCAAGAGATATCCACACACACACGACCTCGCGGTCCGGACTCCTGCGCCGCGGCCCCAAAGATACAGAACGGCTTTGCGCTTCGCGTGGATGCTGCGCGCGGGATGTATCCAAGCACTCGCTCATCTACGGGACCGCACTGGGAGGGCATGGGTATGGATATGTTCGTCGTTCGTGAGGGCCTTGCCTCACACAGGCTCACCCGTGCGCACTGATCTTACTGTGTATGGTACAGCCCGCGAGAAAACTAACAGGCGCCGTGAGGGTCTCTCACGAAGGGCAGCAGCTGCCGACAGAAGCCGCCGACGCTCGCGGTGGACGGTGACGTTAGGGGGGGGAGGGGACTGAGGAGTGAGGGGGGCGCATGGGGGAGGAGGCCCAACGAAGGCAGAACGGGTCCCCTCCCTCCTCCATCCCGCTCCTCCTCCGCGGAGGTCAGGCCCCACCCAAAGACACCGTCCACCCGAACCACACAAAGCTCACGGTACCGTTCCGATCACCTTCCTGATATCGCCGGCGTTGCGACGCAGCCACTCGACCTCTCCGAACGTCCTCTTCCAGGGCAGGTCGTCCCACTGGCCAGCGATGACCTTTGAGGGACACGTGCTGCACCTTTTTATCATATCCCCCTCCGTTTCTACCTCCGCAAATTCTCATCCACCCACCTTCCTCAAACTCTTCCCTGCAGAACATCCTATCTCTCGCTCCCTCCTCCTTCCCTCCCCCTCCTCCTCTTCCACCCTCCGCATTCTCCTCTTCCCGCATCTGTCCGCCCTCCGCCTCCTCCGATCATCCTCCTCTCTCTCCTCCTCCACCTGCGACTACCGCAGAGAGGCTTGCGCACTGAGCAACGAATCCCCTTAGTCCTCCTCCTCCTCCTCCTTCTCCGCATCCTTCTCCTCCTCCTCCTCCTCCTCCTCCTCCTCGTGCCCCTCTTGCTCCATTATTTTTCCCGGAAAGGGCGTGGGCCCAGGGTTCTCTTTTAGTTGGTTAACCCCCCGGCCCCCCTGCGACTTGGGCCGGCGAAATTATTTTGCGAGCGGGCACGCACGGAGTAGGGCCGGCGAAATTATTCTTGAGGATGTCTCGAGCGAAACGCTTGTTTTTCAGAATTTGTTGAGGATGTCTCGAGCGAGACGCTGGTTTTGCAGAGTTGGGGATGTCTCGAGCGAAACGCTTGGTTTCAGAATTTGTTGAGGATGTCTCGAGCGACACGCTGGTTTTGCAGAGCCGACCGCGACACGGAAAAGCGCCCCTCGCGTAGGAATTCCAAGGATGTCTCGCGCGTGCCGCGTCCCGCGCGCGGGTATTTGGATTTCTTGGGATTTTGACAGGATGTCTCGAGCGAAACGCTTGTTTTTCATAATTTGTTGAGGATGTCTCGAGCGAAACGCTGGCTTTGCAAAATTGGAGGATGTCTCGAGCGGTGGCCTCGTGGGGGGCCAGAATTCAAAGGATGTCTCAGGCGAAATGCTTGTTTTCACGTCCCGCTCGCAGGAATTCCGAGGATGTCTCGCGCGTGCAGCGTCCCGCGCGTAGGAATTCAGATGATTTTGACAGGATGTCTCGAGCGAAACGCTTGTCCCCAGCACGTTCCGTAGCGCGTCCCCTTGGCACGTCCCGCGGTGCGTCCCCATGGCACGTCCCTTGGCACGTCGCTTGGCGCGTCCCTTGAGACGTTCTGCGTCGCGTCCTCCTGGCATGTTCCCCTGTCCATTAGCTCTGGGGCAGCTACTATGTGTTCAGGCAGCTCGAGCTTAAGATCCAGATCAGTTCGGTCAGGACTCGGATGCAAAGGAGGACTCGATCCACGAGGCTATAGAGCACAATCGCGCCATGGCACATCGCAATTCAGCACGGCGCAGCACAGCACTGATTTCGGCACGGTACATCAAGGTCGATGCACTCAGCATTGCAACTTGGCACGTTCCTTGGCACGTTCCGTGGGGCGTCCTTTGGCGAGTCCCCCTGGCACGTCGCGCCGCGCGTCCCCTGCACTTCCGTGGCACAGCATCCATTGGCACGTTCAGTAGCGCGTCCCCTTGGCACGTCCCGCGTTGCGACCCCATGCACGTCCCCTGGCACGTCGCCTGGCGCATCCCTTGGGACGTTTCGCGGCGCGTCCTCCTGGCATGTTCCCCTTGTCAATTAGCTCTGGGGCAGCTACTATGTGTTCAGGCAGCTCGAGCTTAAGATCCAGATCAGTTCGGTCAGGACTCGGATGCAAAGGAGGACTCGATCCACGAGGCTATAGAGCACAGTCGCGCCATGGCACATCGCAATCCAGCACGGCGCAGCACAGCACAGCCCTCGGCAGGGTACATCAAGATCGATACCTTCAGTATTGCATTTGCCCGTCACCCAATCAGGTCTCTTTGAAAACGCTGCCATGTGTTACAGTTCTACATTCCTTTCCGGGTTCGTGGGTCGATCATGTTCCTTATGAACAACTCCTCCCTGCCGCCCGACGACGCCAGTCGGAAGGGCGGGCTGGGCGTTTCGCCTGACTTCATTACCACTCATGTGCCTCAAACAAGTTACCCTGGCGACGTACCCCGACCCGTGCGCAATGCGGGGCATAAATACACCAAGATTGCTACAACGGGGGCGATGCCGTAACATGGACGCATGTGATTTTGCGAGCAGCAACCGGAAGGCTCGCAGGCCACCGATCAAGATCTAAGGGCTACGTAATAACAAATCACCCCCGTTGGCTGTGACATGCGCCCCTTGCACCCAACGTATCCCACAGCAGCTCTTGAAAGCCCCCGCGGGATACGTGTAGGCACAACGTTATGGCCATCGCCAGGCAGATGGTTTGTTTCACAAATCACCCCCGTTGGCTGTGCCATGCGCCCGTTGCGCCTAACGTACCCCACAGGAACTCTCCACAACCCCCCCCGGGACGGCGAGGTCCCGCTCAGATCCCCGCGGTGCCTCACTCCGCAGGACCCACCAGCGGCCCTCGAAAGTGGCGACAACGTCGCAGATCGCAGCCCCTCCCGCTCAGATCCCCGCGGTGCTTCACTCCGCAGGACCCACCAGCAGCCCTCGAAAGTGGCGACAATGTAGCAGATCGCAGCACCTCAGGGACGGCGAGGTCCCGCTCAGATCCCCGCGGTGCCTCACTCCGCAGAACCCACCAGCAGCCCTGGAAAATGGCGACAATGTCGCAGATCGCAGCCCCTCAGGGGCGGCGAGGTCCCGCTCAGATCCCCGCGGTGCCTCACTCCGTAGGGCACACCAGCAACCCTCGAAAGTGGCGCCAAAGTCGCAGCCAGGGACGGCGAGGTCCCGCTCAGAACCCCGCGGTGCCTCACTCCGCAGGACCCACCACTAGCCCTCGAACGTGGCGACAATGTCGCAGATCGCAGCCCCCCAGAAGCGGCGAGGTCCCGCTCAGATCCCCGCGGTGCCTCACTCCGCAGGACCCACCCCGCATGACCCACAGCAGCCCTCGAAAGTGGCTACAACGTCGCGGGGGGGGGGGGGGGGGGGGAAAGATTCTCGCATGCCCCCCATGTGACGGTCGAGGTCCTGCTCATGTTCCCCGCCTGCCTCGCTCCCGCAGGACCCCCAGCAGCCCTCGAAAGTGGCGACAGCGTCGCAAGATCGCAGCCTCCCAGGGACGGCGAGGTCCCGCTCAGATCCCCGCGGTGCCTCACTCCGCAGGACCCACCGCCAGCCCTCGAAAGTGGCGACAACGTCGCAGATCGCAGCCCCCCAGAAGCGGCGAGGTCCCGCTCAGATCCCCGCGGTGCCCCACCCCGCAGGACCCACCAGCAACCCTCGAAAAGTGGCGACAATGTCGCAGATCGCAGCCCCCCAGGGGCGGCGAGGTCCCGCTCAGATCCCCGCGGTGCCCCACTCCGCAGGACCCACCAGCAGCCCTCGAAAGTGAGAGAGAGAGAGAGAGAGCGTGATCCACCGCCGCTTCACTGTGGAAAATTGCCACCCTCTTCCTCCGGAACCCGGGAGTTCCCCCCCTCTCGGACCCCGCCCCTGCCCGACCCCCCCCCTCCCCCGGCAAAACCCCCGCCGTCCCCTCACCCCCCCCCCTCCCCCTCGAAAACCTGGGGGGGTCACTACTGGTTCGAACCCCCCCCCCCCTCGAAAACCGGAGGGGGGGTCATTACCGGTTCGAACCCCTCCCCACCCCCCACACTCACCGCCAGCAAACGACTCCCGGTCCCTACCACCGTCCGCGCCACATCCCCCACTGTTGTTCCCAGCACCACTGTCCTCACCACCACTGTCCCCACTGGTTCCACCACCGTCCCCACTGTCCCCACCAGTGCCCCCACCACTGTCGCACTGTCCCCACTGTTCCCACCACTGTTCCCACCACGGTTCCACTCTCCCCACTGTCTCCACGGACCCAACCACTGCCTATCCCCACTGTCCCCACTGTCCCACTGATTCCTCCGCTGTCCCACTGAGCTGTCCCACTGTTCCCACCACTGTCCCCACTGTCCCCACCACTGTCCCCACTGTACCTCTGTCCCATTGTCCCACCGCCGTCCTCGCCACCGCCTTCACCACTGTCCCCACCACCACTGTACCCTCCACTGTCCCACTGTTTCCACCTCCCCCTGTCCCCACACCAGTCCCCACCACCACCGTCCCCATCACTGTCCACTGTCCCCACTGTTCCCACCATTGTCCTCACCACTGCCCCCACAACTACAGTCCCCACCACTGTCCCACTGTCCCCACCACTGTCCCGCTGTCCCCTCGCCACTGTCCCCACCACCGTCCCCACCACTGTCCGCACCCCCCCTCGGTTTTCGAGGAAGGGGGGGGGGTTCGAACCGGTAAAGACCCCCCCGATTTTCGAGGGGAGGGGGTTCGAACCGGTAGTGACCGCCCCCGCCTTTTCATGATGAACTGGGGGGGGGAGGGGTTCAGTGACCCCCCCAGGTTTTCCGCCAGCAGCGGCAGAACACGCTCTTTCGGAAGTGACGACAATGTCGCAGATCGCAGCCCCCCAGGGACGGCGAGGTCCCGCTCAGATCCCCGCGGTGCCTCACTCCGCAGGACCCACCAGCAGCCCTCGAACGTGGCGACAATGTCGCAGATCGCAGCCCCCCAGGGACGGCGAGGTCCCGCTCAGATCCCGCGCCCCCGCGGTGCCTCAACTCCGCAGGACCCCCCAGCAGCCCTCAACGTGGCGACAGTTTTCCGCAAGCAGTAAGGAAACAAAACAGCACCGAAAGTCAAGATATCCAGCCCCCCAGGGACGGCGAGGTCCCGCTCAGATCCCCGCGGTGCCTCACTCCGCAGGACCCACCAGCAGCCCTCCAAAGTGGCGACAATGCCGCAGATGGCAGCCCCCAGGAACGGCGAGGTCCCGCTCAGATCCCCGCGGTGCCTCACTCCGCAGGACCCACCAGCAGCCCTCGAAAGTGGCGACAGTGTCACAGATCGCAGCCCCCCAGGGATGGCCAGGTTCGAGCAAGGCAACAGGAGACAAGAGGGGAGCGGGAGACGTGAGGCGGGAGGAGAACTGGAGACCGCAGTGCTCTATTCAAAACGAATACCCAACCAAGGAGGGTTGAGAAAAACTGTCAACAAATCACATCTAGAGGGC